GTATATCTTTTATATCCCGGTTAACAAGAATTTAAAATGATTATAACAATATACATCAAGAAAACTTTGATATTTTACTTGTTTTCAAGATTTATATTTAATATGCATAAATGGATATTTTCTTTTTGAGTATGCCAATGCATGGCTTGTATTTGGTTTAGTACTTTTTCTTTAGTGTTTTTAATTTGAGTTCTAATGCTGATTTTGTTTTTGATGCAGCATTATTGTCCAACACTCAGAATACCAATGTGTTTTTCTTAAGGGCAGGAGCAAAACCATAAATTCTTCTTCTAATATGCTGCGGAATCTTTTCTTTCTTAATTGGGAATTTCTTTTGTAATGGTGAAATCGGCCGTGTATTGTCATGATTTAGGGATTTCCAGGATGCTTAGAGCAAGCAGACTGTTATTGCCATGTTTAGGCGACTTCAGAAACCTTATCAGGGCACCTTTAATGTGAACCACTAGTAATAAACCAGATCCAATTAGAAAACCTTTCAAGATATTAGGATTTTATAAAGCATGTATTGTTTTATCTATTCCAGTTCATTTGAGCGCGTTTTTCTATTGAATACTTAAATGTTTTATATGCTAAATGATTTTAGTTCAGAAGGGAGGATACCTGACGATTTGAAAACTGCTCTGGTGAAGGCTTAATTAAGGATCGGGAGCTTCCTATATTACAAAACTATGGCCCACTTTATGAAACGCATAATCTCCAAACCTAGACGTCGCTTTTTGATAAAGGTTATATTTCCTCGTCCGGCCAATATGGCTTCGAAGTGGTCAGGGGACGGGACTACTACTATAAGGTTTCGCAGGTGAGTTGCATCTTGCTTTCGATGGGTATCAGGTCGCATGTGCGCTTTTCATTGATGCGGCAAAAGCATTGACACAGTGAGTGCTATAATTGTACTGAAAAAAATACAGTACATCAGATTCCGTGGTATATTCCTATCATTACTACAAAACGTTTTCACTGGGCGATAGCAGCTTTTTTCCATATGGCGTACACGAAGCTCTAGGCTTGTATCAATATCTGAAGTTCCCCAAGGGCTCCGGGTGTTCTCACGTCTGCTTTTTAAAATTTTTATTACTAAAATGTCTAACGCAACATCTTATGTGGAAACTTTTCCAATATGCAGACGACACAGTTTGCTCTCGCTTCATCTTCGTTATGGTGTAGCAGTTTCGCATCTCGAATAAAATAATTGTTACCTTTTTGATTGATTTTATACATATTTATTTCTATTAATGTATCTAAAACGAAACTTGTGGGCTTTCGTATTCCACTGAAAGTTCATAAATTCAGTCACCCGCTTTTTATGTATAAATCGGAGAGCGCGCCTTGCAACGGCTCTCCTGCTGATTACACTGATCAGGTTACATATTTAGGCATATCGTTCGACAGTGATCAGTCATGGAGTTCCCATCTATCGCATCTTCGTAAACGACTGTGAAGTGTTCCCCGTTTAATATTTACACAAGGTCGCTGAAACCAATTTCATCCGGCTGTTGTTCTAGCGGTATATCTAACAGTTTAAAACAATCTGTATTTAGATGTAACTTTTTTTTTTCTCCCCAAACTGCTGTTACACCAAACTGTGTGTAAAATATCCGCCAATTGAGGCCAATATCTTGTTGTTTATTTAGTCATGCATAGTTGCCTAATGTTCATGCCTTCATCGTTCTTGCTTCTTACGCCAAACGCCATACGGGTAGAAACTGAGGAAAAGGGGGAGACGAAAGCGCACATGGACATCAGTTCACGAATCTCTGTCTGCAATGATTAGTGGGCAAACGCAAAGTGTCTCAACTCGCTGTTCGAACGCTTTATAACGCCAAGTACGAACGCAGGACACCAGCGTCGGGCGTTGTAACGTGGTCGAAGCGTTTAATAGAAATTAAGGCAGCTAGCTTTGAGTTTATCGTCTACTCGTTCCAACTTGAGCTTGGTGTGAAGACTCTCCCGCGCCCTCCCGTCTGCTTCAGTCTCTACCGGTATTGACTTGGTGTTAAAGAAATCCCGATAAAAACGGCGTTCCGCCGATTGGGTACCAAAGTTGGAAGCCGGTCGTTTACGTTTCGTAAGGAGGTTAAACACATTTTGAAAGAAAATTTCACCTCCACTCGTTATTTAAAAAAGCTTATTTTTTCTGCATCAAGGTTAATACTTTTTTAAAAGATTAAGCTTATGTAATATATATATATATATATATATATATATATAAATGAGCATTTAGCTATCCTATTTCTTTTAAAGGTAACAATAATTAGGTCTCTCCAACCGCTTTTTTTACGTAGTAAACAAGTATTTGAGACTCCCGAGTGTGCGCAGAGTTTAACACATTAAAGGTGTAAGAAAGATCATTATAAAATTGACGGAAAGACTATGAGTTCTAGATGTCGTCAGACACCTAAAACCCGATGATAATGCAATTAAAAGTAAATGTGCAAGCGAGCTGGACACGAATGATGAAAATAATCTCCAGAGAAGGGGAACAAGAGGGGCAAAGGTCAAACTCAAATCTCCAAACACAGCTAAGTGACTGGTGCGCCACCGAAGAATTCGTCTTTTCCTGGTATCCAACCGGGACCAGGCGTTTTGTTGGTGCTAGAATGGCGGCAGCCTGTCGAACACCCGCACATTGTTTGTTGTTAATCTGGTGGCAGATGATATAACCCGCTTGCTCTATTGACGTGTTTACTCCTGGTTATCTCAGTAGGATGAGTACTCCACTAGAAATGGAGATATCCCTGGTTCGATAGCAGGACCAGGCGGATTTTTTGGGGTCGCGCAACTCTCACCTAGATGTGTTTGGAGATTTGTGTCTTTCGTTTGTCCTAAGAAGCTTGGCTTCGGGCTAGTTTGTTTTTTAGAGCGCAGCTCTTAGGCGCCCGTTTCCGGCTTGAGCGGCGTCACCGTCGGCTTTGCAGTCACCGTCGCTGTCGCTGTCGGCGTAACCGCGAGGTCACGTGACCCCCAAGGTCACCCGAAGGTCACGCGACCCCCAGAGGTCATTCCAAGGTCATGCGACCCCTAGAGGTCACATCACCCCCAGGTCACGTGACCCCCAGAGGTCACGTGATCCCCCAAGGTCACGTGACATCCTCCCCGAGGTCACGTGACAACCCCCCCCCCCCGAGGTAAAGTGACCCCCTCCCCTCCGAGGTCAGGTGACACTCCGGAGCTTATTCAAGAATGAGGGGAGGAAGAGAAGGAGGAGGAGGGGTCTACCCTTCCCTCTTCCTCCTCAAGAGCTGCGCTCCGATTCGGCGTTACAGTGAGTTGTAAACGGCTTTCACTTTTTTTCATTATTTTTTTTTTTATTCTGCGCTGCTAAAGTTTACAATCTCGGACGAAGAAGGACGACTCACACACGAAAGGAGAAAGGTCCTTTGTCCCCCTGTTCCCCTTCCCCAGGGATTATTTTCGTCCATCTAAAATGCCTTGTCAACCGATTAAAATTAGCATAATATTAATCATTTTGAAATGCACCGGGAATGGCTCTCTCCACGAAGCGGACACAATGGAAGGCCGGACGATGACCAAAGGAAGGCCCCTGCCGTGTTGTGCGACGATCGACTCAGCCAGACTCTTAGTGAAGACATAGGTGTTGGGTTTGGCACCGAGCAGCTCCGGTGTCCGTTTCTGAAGATCGACCTCGCTCATTGTTCTTCATGGTTATATTTCACATGCGAGCAAAAAGAAAAAAATTGGAGAGATTGTTTTATTCCTCCCAGACTAGTTTGTATGGCTTAGAAAACCAACCACAATTCACGGTAGACACAGCAAAATTAACACTCTCAAAAATGCTGCGTTTGTAAAGAATCGCGAAGGTCTACTCTCCAGATGCTATGGGACACTCCTTCTAAGTTGCGGTAGAAGAGCCTTTGTCAATAAAATAATTTGAAGGCGCTGTGCTTGCACACACCGTACACATTCCTTTTTTCTTCAATGAAAATGTCACACCTACTGCGAGGCTCAGTATCTCCCATAAACCTCATCTAATATATACATTATATTTATTGACACCTGCAGCTATTGGCGAAAAGACAGTATGACTTGAGATAAAAACATATATACAATGTAGAAAACTTTGTTCAGAACTAAAGACAAATATTTATTGACTTCTTCACAAGCTTTCAAAAGTGTCAGCTTTACAACACTGTCAAGTCGACACGTCAAACGTATGATTATTTTTAAACATTTAAAAAGAATGTTTGGTATCATTTCTGGTATTAATCGCGTATTCGCTAAACACATACAAATGCCAGAATAATAATGCTTGTCGATTTTACATGAGATCTGGCAAAGACTACTAGGAGGCACCCTGTCTTAAAAAGGCTCATTTATTTTCCTTTCTGCTTTATAAAATAAATATATTTTAGTGCTCGTTAGATTAGTTACTATAATAAGGAAAATTACACATGCTGAATTTAGAAATATAAATAGCCTTATTATTTACGAGCTAATAACGTCCGATCCTTAAGAGCTAGATTTACAAAGTGACAACAAGATGATAAATGCGCCAAGTGTTCAAACTAGTAGTTCTGTATACTATTTAAAGCAATGCTTTTTTTAAATTCGATTGACACTTTTATACGTGATCTTTCACTTTTCAGCAATGTTCATGTTGCAAGCTTAATTCATTCGATTGAACATAAAATTTAACGGTACGCTGTTATTTAAGGATAATATGTAGACAATATAGTATTCAGCATACATTACAGTTTTAAACATTCAAATTGTGAATATTATTTACAGATATGACATACTGCAGAAGCCTACAGAAAATCTTAATTGAGAATTACATATACTGTTTTAGGTTCATCTATAAAATGCATGTGATTCGACTAAAATACAATGTTTCCAATGAATGAAAAATAATAAAACTGACATTACCATCTGGTATAATATCAAGAGCATGATGTAGCCCCAATTTGCAAGCATCAGGCTCACCATGACTGATGTAGGGGATACAAATAGATAGGAGTGCCTTACTTTGTTAGCGAAATGATGTGATCCGGCTCTACCGTTGGTGAGTATATTCGCTCCTCCAAAATCTTGTCATCGGAGTTGACGTATGCTGTCGAGACATGAACAAAGGCCTAAAAAAAAAAATAGTAACGTGAGCACACCACCAGTTGTGGTTCGATCAGCAAGTTCGATGCGTACTCAATCGAAATTAGTTCACGGTCACAAATGAGACTGAACATTCACTAATCTTTCATAGCCCATTGCTTCGAAAATATAGATACAAATACTTTTTACGCCGTCTCGGGTACGTCAAGTAGGAGGTGTCATCCACTGAAACGCGATCGTAATCACGCCGCTTACGTCTGCTTGGGGTAGTTCGTGTTGTGAGGCTGTAGCTGTACTGTGCCCAGGAGGAGTATAAACGCCATGGGTTACCCCTTCGCCCATTTTAGTCCTCTTACCACCTTTCTTCTGTGTTATTTCGCGGTTTGCACGAAACCGAAAAAAAAAGACATAAAGTTTCCGTCCTGTCTACTACTTTGTTTCATTTGCGGATTTTTATTTCTACCGCATGTGCCCTCGCGTCTATTTTTGTCTTACTACAAGCTACCTTGAACTCGCATTTGCCTTTCTGTCCAGAATTGTGAATTGATAAACTTACTTTTAGGTATAACACTGCTTTTTGAATACGTGGTATTTCGCTATTTCGATTGAGTATATTCTGATGTGTTTGTTCCTTCAGTTGTTTTCTTTCATTTACTTTGCAATGTGCAAGGATGGTGGAGACTCGCAGCCAAATATTGTGTTTTCCTTCTGCGCCCCCCCCCCCCTTTTCTCGTGACTGCGTAATTCAAAATAAATTATCATAATTATTATGAGACGCCGCGTGCGTAGCGCGGTCAGTGGCGCACGTGTTTACCACCCTGATATGCGCGGGCCACCATCCCTGGTATATTGGACTCTCTATCTTAATCTTTATTTGCCCTGCTTCAAATTTGGAGCTCAATCTCTTAAGCTAGTAAGGTACGTTGATGGCTTATTTGTTTCATCTTAGTTCAGCATACAAAAATAACACAAAAAGGAAGGGGCACTAAGCAAACGTGACAAGTGGTATTATGTTTATTTTCTGTCCCAGCCTTTTTTTGCGTTATTTGAATGGGAAAGCATTTACTGTCCCGTGGAGAGATCCAACGTCATCAGCTTTGAAACCATGGCAAACGTTGGCCAAACAGCAATTAATATACCGCTTTCCAAGTGAAGCCGATTTCTGATGAATTATGCTCTCATTGACTGGCTTGCGTCATCAGGGAACGAGGCTCCCATTAAATCTTAAGCAACGTAATTAAAATAAAAAAAAAAATCACCAGAGACGCTCTTTTCATGGCGGTGGAGCTTACGCAGCGGCGCGGCCGCCGGTAAGAGAAGAGAGCGGCGGCGCCAGAGCGAGAGCCCGCCCGGGCTCTGGCTCTGGGCTGGCCACACGGCTGAGCTCAGCGCAGCGCAGCCACCTCAAGAAAGCGAGCGCTCGGCCGTCCTTCGACGACACGTGGCCGTCCACGCCACTACGCCGCGTACGAACTAAGGGAGTGGAAGAACGCCATTCATGCGTTCACATTCTCAACTCATAAGAAGTGCTTAGGTGTCCTCAGACCTTTTATGTTTATATAATCTCTTAAGCCGCCATTTGTTCCGGTCTACAGTCACCCTGAACGTGGAGGCTGTATACAAGGAGCTCTAGGCCACTGTATGTGTCCACTACCACACCGAAGCTCAATCTTGCTATCACGCTGACATCCGTGCCACCGACGCAAGCTATAGCAGTTTGTTTTAAAACCCGTTTGATATATTATATCCGTAGTCTTACCAGCTTACTATTGCATTGTTATCTGCAATTCGAGAAATTATTAAAATGTTTTGCTACCTTGCTCTGTGCAAATAGAACGTCTAATAATGAAGTCACATATATTACTAGGTATATAGTGTATTTTTCAGTATTTAGACAAAGTTTAAAAAGAAGCAATGAAAGCTAAACTAATGTTTCTGTGTTGGTTAAGTATGCGGCCGGGGGTGCACAATATAAGAGAACAATCGTAAGGATAAGGCGGTTATTGAAGTAAAACCTGTTATTTGATATTCTAATTATTAAATATGAATATGTGAATCCAATAAGAAACTAGTTGAGCCTCATAAAAAATATATTAAGTAAACTTTGCAAAGATTTGGAGCGTATCGCAAGCTCCGTGGTACGCTAAGTGCTAAATTTACCACTCCTGCAACCGGTGCCAGGCTTGGGGTGCAAAAACGCGCCCACAGAGTGTTTCAGTTTTTTTCCAATTTTTGTTTACGTCAGCCTCGCACCTGTTGCTCCAGTTTTGAGCATTACCGCGCCTCCGAGAGGCCCAAAAGTTTTATATATTCAACATATGGTTTGATTTATGATGACAGTCAGCGAGGTTTACATGAAAGCCCTATTGAAAATACACCCTTTTGCCCTGATGTGTTATAAGAACCTCTCAGCGCTCCAGACCCCTTTAGCCTATCAGAGCCTTCAGCCCAAACCCCCTTAGCGCATCAACCCTTTAGACGCCCAAATGACTGTGAAACATAAACGAAAAATGCTGTTTAAAACGTTATTGTAAATTTCAAGTTTGAGTTTTACATGCGTGTTCTAACCTAAAAAGACGATAAAAACCAACGTTTGCTCAAACCCGGACGCAAGCAGCTGTAGACGAAAGCGATCATATCAAATATGGACAACCGAGATCTTTGCCACAAAAATATATTTGAAAGTAGTCTTTGAAAGTGCTACAATAAGACCAAGCTGACAGGATCGTGACTCCTGCGTTCGCCTCCCAACGCCCACTCAGCCGGCGCCTCGTCAATTCTCCAGATGGGGCGGTCGCCCCCGATCATCTCCTTGGTGACCGTGCAGCTAGGCAGTGACAAATCGGCCTATGAGCCCACAGCGGCGATTGCCTCTGTTTCGTTTTTAAGCTGCATTGCCTACACAAACACAAAGACCTCTCCACAATTTCCAAAACTCGTCGTGTCCGCGCGATTCAAAAATGGCTAAGCGGGTTCCCCGACGCATATATCGTGAAGGGTCACGTGATCTCTACCACAAACCCGTTAAAATAATTTTGATGGGTGGTGTGGTTTCACGAATAAGATTTGAACAGACCCCACAGGCCTCTCAAAAAGCTATGACGGGCGTCTTACACCATTTAGGAATTCATAAAGGGTACGCCAGGCTCCTTAGAAAACCATGACGGAAAACTCAAATACATCAAACATCTTCGATGGCTACGTGACAACATTTAAAAAACCCTAGTGGGCTCCTAGACGGATTTTCAATAGCGAGCATAAGTTTATTTTCCGCAATTAAATATGTAACTAACACATTTCGCTTCTACCTCACTTACCGATATAAAATGGTCTATGGTCGTCTAGATCCAATCCTATGGGTAGCTGTCGCCGTTTACGGCCCTGTGTAGTTGACCATACAATCCTATAGAACCAGCTATAGCTAGCGATTTCAAAATTTCTGGCACTTAGACTAAAAACTAGTAACCATAACATTTCGTTTAAGCAGCTATAAACGTTTGAATTTATCGAAAGCTATATACACCGTGCAAGAGATATAGGGGCTCTACAAAAGGCGCCCATAGCGCCATTAGCGGTGGAGCCGGCGTTCGACAGAGACGTGCTCAACAGACGGCGGTGCGTTTCGCGTGCGAGGTTGTGGCGGCGGAAGCGTGCACGGAGGAAAATTTTGTTCTTTGAGCTGATACGCTTGAGTGAGGTTACATGAGGGCTGGGGAAGACCTAAAATTGTAATCTTGCTTCTTATATATCCAATGATGTATAAGAAGCTTCTTAGAAATCTCAGGAAATAATCTTTTTATATCTTCTCTCTATCGCACTGCGTGCTGGCGTCCGACGAGAAACCTTCCCGGCTTCTGGAAGGTGCAACAATTGCACTTTTTCTAAAAATCAACGATTAATTTTTATCCTGAAATGAATCTACCACAAATTCATTGAGTCGAAGGTGAAGAATAAAAGTCAAGATGCTTTCAATCGTGATTCAAGCCGTACCAAATCACTGATCAGTTTACACAAAAACATGTGTTTCCAAAAATCATTTCCAGCGAAACTAATACCACAACTAAGTTTTATTATTGTTTGCCTACAATTCGATGCCACCCACGTAAATTTATTGTTTTAATAAAAAAACACGAAGTAAATGAAAATGTATAGCACTTGAACACGAGCAAAATGTGATGCTCTTCTCTGCTAATCGGAGGAGTGAGCTCATTTCTTTTTGTCTTCCACGTCCACGTAGCATCTGATGTAAGCGTATCAGAATGCGAAAAAGAAAAAGGAAACGTTGTATGCGTGCGGTCGCACGCACACACATCGACGATGGGTGTGACCGAGAGAGAAAGTCAAGTACATCTTATTTTACAAATAAGGTTTATCTTAGAATGGTGAGTATAGCATATGCGTTCTGTCTTACACAAGCTTGCCTGCCTTTTCCTGAAATTATGCCACCATCTTGAGCACTTCAAAAACCAAGAGAAAAGGTTACTGTCGTTAAACAACTCGCGAACTGCGCTCGAGTTCAAAGGTCAGCATTTTACGTCATTGGACATATATTTGTTTCATTCTTTTCACTTTTGGTGCGGCTAAGAGACCTTTAATAATTTGTTTGGAACCGCCCTTTGAAGAAATGGCACATTGACACGGTGCGCACGGAACTGATTGAAAACAATTTCGCGGAAAGGAGCGCATTTTTCGGCATTTTTATTATACTCAATGTTCTTATTTTTGTTCTGGCGAAGTATTACAGCAAATAAAGGTTTCTCAATAACCAACCGAATGAAGCTCTTGTTGTTCAAGTATGACTTTTTTACATAAAAAATTAGTTCTGGAATATTCTCCACTTTACGATATAATTAAATGTTTTATGAATCTTAATTTGACACTGTTTTTAGCGATTTTTTAGATTGAAGAATTGATTTCGCGTGCTCAATAAGACTAGTGAAAAACTAATGAGTTTTTAGTTCAACTAATTTGGTATATATATACAGGGTGTTTCACAAAAGATAAAGAAATTCGATATCGCAAAAACTACGCGTTATAAAAAAAAAAAGTTTGTGCCGTTTTGGTCCTGGACCAGGGGCCCATTTAAGAAAATTATTAAAGTCCTGGATAATTAGATTGTTATTTATATTTGCGTAATGATTGTGTTTAAGAGCATGTTTTCAATTAGGAAACTGCTGAGCATCATGGAAAAACACTAAATCAACAAATTGCAGAAAGATAGAACGCACGCGCAGCATTTTTCTGATTTCTGAAAATCCGCACAAATTCGACGGGTTTTTAAGTTTTGGTTTCCGATCGGAGCGCATCTCGGCCCCGATGGCACCGCACCCCGTGGAGAAATAGTGCAGCCAATCTCTGCTCCGCTGTCCTCGTGCAACACAGGAGAGGTTGGTTGCACCATTTCTCCACGGGGCGCGGTGCCGTCGGGACAGAGTGCGCTCCAATTGCAAACCGAAACTTAACAACCCGTCGAATTCGTGCGGTTTGTCAGAAAACCATAAAATGCTGCGGGTGCCTTCTGAACGAAAGACCATTCCGTGACGTCATGAACTTTGCACGCAGATTTTAAAATCGATCTCACGCCATTAATATTGATTTTTTTTTCGCGTGAAAATTTCTTTTTTGACACGTATGTCCCAATCAAACTATTAAAAAAATTCAGTCGCCCTTTAAGTACGTTTGAGATCTTTTGATTTTGTTTCGTACTGAAGTACAATATCGGCGCTTATAATTAGTAAGATGCGCAGTGACAACAAATAAGTTGCTTCAGATTTCATATGGAGGTGGTAAATAGGGAAAATATTAGGCAGCTCTAGCACTGAGGTAAGGAGAACCACAGAAGGAGCTGTAGTATACCCTATAGCAGCCCACACAGAATGCAATAAACGGGCAAGGAGACCACAGGAAAAGCTGTAAGCAGCTATAGCAGAATGTGTAAAGAGAGGTATCAGACGAGCTGTATGATAAACGATAGCAGACCACACAGATAATAATAGGCGGCTAAGGAAACCATACCAAATACCATAGGCGGCTATTTCACGCTGGCCAGAAAGACCCATGGAGCAAACCATAAATCTGTATAGCAGAAAGTGCAACAAGCTAAACATGGCTGACGAAACCAAAGGAAGAGCTTTAGGCAGTCACAAAACACTGGGTAAATATGAACATAATGTAAGCCTTAGACATTTATATAGAAGACCATCCAGGAAGCTATGGATGACCTAGGAAACCACTTGAAAAACCATAGGCAGCTATATCACGCTGGCTAAAAAGAACCATATCGTAAGCCATAGAAATTCCTATAACAGAAATTAAAGGTAGTTATAAATGGCTTAAGAAAGCATAAAAGGAACCATAGCCGGCTATAGCATGATGGCTCAAAACGCCCGTAGGGTAAGCAATCGAAATATCTGTAGCATGTGATACATAAAGCAATAGATGTTTAATGAAACCATAGGAAAAACCATAGGCAGCTATAGCACGACGGTTGAAGAGACGCATAGCGTTAGGCGTATAAATCTCCACAGCAGACCATATCGCGGTCTAGGTGGATAAAGATACCGTAAAAAATGCTACAGGCGGCTATAGCATTCTGGCCAAAGATACCCAAAGTGTAAGCTATAGGATTCAGTATAGCAGATCATGCAAGAAGTTATAAATAACTGAAAAAAATACTATAGGAAAAGATAGTCATATATATCTCCTACGCTAAGGTTAGCCATAGATAAAGCCATAAAAATCTCTATAACAAATCATACACGGAGCTAGAGATGGCTAAAGAAACTAAAAGAACATCCATAATCGGCTACAAAAAAATGTTGGTTAAAGAGATATACATAGTAAGCAATAAACATCTTTATAGAAGACAACACAAAGGGCTATAGAGGGCTAAAATAACACAGGGAAAAATATAGGCAGCAATCGCACGGTGGCTAAAGAGAGCATTAGAGGAAACCACACAAAGCTATAGGTATAGAATGCTGCAGCTAACACATTTTAGTCCCTAGAGAAAGATAAAAGCACAAATGGGGGGAGATCATATAAAATTATAAAGACAGCCATAAAAGTCACCATGGATAACTGGGCCATTTGTTTTAGCCGGCCATACAAAAGATTGTATATAGCCGGCAATAAAAAAACATTCCTCCAACGCGATGATTATTCCCTCTATTATGTTTCCTTGGCCGCATAACTCAACATCACCGACCGAATTAGTGTAGTTTCGCACCGTTCTTTAAAACAGATCACTTCAGCCTAAAATTACGCTCAAGATATGACTGTTTCACAAAATGAGGTCCGTATTACTTGAAGTATAGTTGTTATGACCACAAAATAATAAAAAGAGTAACTATGTCCGTCAGATCTAATTTGAAACGTTTAAACGATTTAGAGTGGCTCGCACTTTGTTTATTCATAATATAATGCAAGTTACAAATTGATAATACAGCACACACAAAGAGATGAGAAATATAGGCAGTAAATTATACTTGCATATATCGTGCTGTATGAGCAACGTCTAAACATAAACCAAAAGGCCTGCATCATCTTTTTGATGCAATTTACACTTTTGTCAATTTAGCTGTCTTGCGCTAGTATGTGGTACTATACAAATAGGTACATTATTCAGCTCTATTGCGTCGTCGATTGGTCGTGTTTAAAAAGCAGAGGTTAGGGCACTACTCAGATTTCCAGTATATATTTCTCTGCATAAAATGCTGCACTAATATATTTCTCTACATAAAGTACACACTCCACTCACCTTCATCCCTTTGGTGCTATGGCAAAGGTCCAGCACTCTTTTTGTGCCTTCCATGTTTATCTTCACAGCGTTTCTGAAAACAGTATACTCTCATGAGAAGTAAACAAGCATTTAATGAATGAAGAACTTCGTTACATAATTACCTACACCTTTGAAAAGCCCGATAATTGTAGCTGGAGAAGTATGCAAACAATAATGCATTTCATGTCACCAACATGAAACACTGGAGTCGTTAGCCTTTTTTCGCCAACTCGTATATGCTTAGAAAGACGATTACCAAAAATACGCAACAGAATCAGGGCGAAAAATAGCGCAGTCGTTTACGGTATTTGTTATTTATTGAAATAAAAGTATAAATATAAGTATAGATATACATTTATTGATTCGGTGTCCGTGAATGCGAATCTGAGCGGAAAGAGTATTCATTGTCAATATAACAATTGCGTAGTTGTTGAACTCGTTTCCTTTCGTAATTAACTATTCCAAGGTGACGGCGGTATCATGTGAGAAAAAAAAGAAACGTCACTCTGGTATTACGGCATTTGCGAAGTTTGTCGAAGATTTTCCAGCGCTCCTCGAAAAGAAGTTTTGCTTAATGTTGACTCGGATTCGAACGCGTACGCCGCGAAACACTGCTGAGACTAAATAAAATACGCTGTGTTTGTGCAAGCTCGTGTTACAGGTCGACGCACCATCGAACCATGAACAAACATATAAAGGTATTAAAAAGATCACTAGCCTCTAAACTTTCGAAAGGAAAGTTTTCCTAAATGCCCCATCTGCGTCCGTTTGAAAGTACACCGTTTAAATTGTAACGGGAGAAACCTTTCCAAATAGCGGCGCTGATTTATTTTAGAAAACTATTAAAATAACTTGCAATCCAGACTTTATCAAATAAAATTATTGCCTTGAGGACTCTTCCCAATCTATGCGTAGATGTGCGTATCGCCGATATTTTTCTTAGCTTTGCCCCTTCCCCACACAACGTCCACGCTTCTCCACCCTGCTTGTTCTGAAAAATAAAAATTAATTCCAACAAAGTGTGTCGAAGGTTTTTGTTTCTAAGTTTTGCATGAGCACAGAATAAATAAGATGGTCTAAACCATAGACAAACGGTCTATGGGTGTATATAGACAATCCTATAGGTGGCTATTTCCATCTATGGCTCCCTATAGTCGGCGATAAATACCTAGGAATAGCTATAGCCATCTTTAGAATATTTTATGCCACTTAGGTTAAATACTAGTACTCATAACATTTCCTCCAACTGCCTTTAGAATCCTGTACATATCCAAAGCTGTAGACACGCACCCATTCGATTTTGTATAGCCCGCTATAGTAAGGCTTATGTCTTCGAAGCTATAGAAGCGAGACCTTTCAATTGTCTAAAGTCAGCTATAGAAGAGGCTTTGTTGTACTTAAGGATAGACATACAACCACTCACTTTGCTATAGTAAGCTATAGATAGGCTTACGTCTTCAAAGCTATAAACGCGAGTCCTTCCAACTGTCTGTAGTCAGTTATGTAAATGTATATGGCTTCAAAACTGTTCACGCACAGCCCTTTAATTCTATGTACGCAGTTATGGAAAAGCTTACGTCGCGAAAGCTAAAGATGTCAACCAATCATTTTTCTATGCCCACCCATAATGCCTCCAAAGCTATAGACGTTCAACCAGTAATTTCCCTGTTGCAAGCTATGCTAAAAATTAAAGCCGTTTACAACTCCCTGTAACGCCGAATTAGAGCGCAACTCTTGAGGAGGAGGAGGGAAGGGTACTGAGGGTCACGTGTTCTCAGGGCGGAGGGGTCACGTGACCTCGGGGGGAGTAATGTGACCTTGGGGGTCACGTGACCTCGGGGAAATCACGTGACCTGGGGGAGGTGTCACGTGACCTTGGGGGTCACGCGACCTCAGAGGGGGTCACGTGGCCTTGGGGGTGACGTGACCTCGGGGGGAGGTGTCACGTGAACCCTCTACGAGGTCAGCGAAGGTACCCGAGGTCCTCCCGAGGTCCTCCCGAAGGAGCCCGAGGTTCTCCCGAGGTCCTCCCGAAGGAACCCGAGGTCTTTCTGAAGGATCCCGAGGTCCTCCCGAGGTCCTCCCGAAGGAACCCGAGGTCCTCCGAGGTCCTTCCGAAGGAACCCGAGGTTCTTCCAAGGTCCTCCCGAAAGAACCCGAGGTCCTTCGGGAGAAGCTCGGGTTCCTTCTGTAAACTTTACCCATAATGCACCGCGCGGTTTCGCCGACGGCGACGGCGACGGCGACGGCGAAGGCGACGCCGACGCTGCTCAAGCCGGAAACGGGCGCCTAAGAGCTGCGCTCTAAAAAAAATGTCCCAAATCTATACGCCTCGCAAGTGGGCTCATTTTCGTCTTCTGCGCATGAGAAAAGAAGTAGCGGTGACGTCAGAACGCCGAGCCCTGATTGGCTGATCGCGACCCCCTATCTCAGCGTCGTCTGCTCCTTTGCAACGTCGTCTGCTCGCAAATTCGTCTGCTCGCAACATCGTCTGCGTCTGTCTTACCTCTCCTGCGACTTTCGGAGCGAATTCGACTTCACCTTTAAAAGAGGGCAGACGAAATAACTCGAGCGATATTTTGTTTTTTGTCTAACAACTAGCAGACGCGCATCAAGGAGGGAAGTCAAAGGACTCACTGGCGAGGTGTCCCAGGACGCCGAGGTTTGTTTGCTTAGAACCGAGAGTGAGCGTGTTAGTGTCCGCAAGTTCCCTCCCAAATACTTTTTTCCTCCATTCGTGTGCGGCGAGACCCCTCACTCTTTAACGGCGTCGGCGGGTTGGCGCAGTTAACGTCGTCTGCTTTACGTCTGCTAGTCAAAGCGATGGCTGCTTTACTTGTCCTGCGTCTGTCGGAGATTCACCGCTTTTTCACCGGCGAGAGTCACCGTTGCCTCGGGAAGCAAGGAGATAACAAGAAGAAGAAATTGACCTCTTAATCTAAAATTGAGGTCAGCGATCAAAGTATAATACGGGAAGGGTTCACAAGGGTCGCGCGGGTATATTCCATTCAGCACACCAGCCGGTCGTGGGCAGACGGTCGCCGAGTCGCGGAGTTCCTGCTAGGCCTAACTGCCCTGCTCGTTTGGTCGCGTTCGGTGGAATCGTGGCCGTTGGAGCTTTTCCCGGGTGTTTGTGGATCCAGCGTTCTTGTTCGTCATGGTCTGTTTCAAGTATTTTTTCTTGCTGCTAGACGTCGGGACGCGTCAGAAGCGCAGGTAGAAAAATAAACGTCCGTGGGTTTTCGCGACCGCGACGCTGTCGGCCATGCTGATTTGATCGTAAGAAGTGCGTAAGACAGCTTCGGAGCTGCCGTAGGATTTCGTCGTAACCTGCGCAAAACTTACGAAAATTTCGTTTCGTGAATACGAATTCGTTCTTAAGTTTTGTCTTACGCACGTTTTTTTGGCTTTTGGATCGTTTCGTGAATCTGGCCTCTGCACTTCCGAAAGTCGCAGGAAAGGTGAGACAGACGCAGACGACGTTGCGAGCAGATTACGTTGCAAAGGAGCAGACGACGCTCAGATAGGGGGTCGCGATCAGCCAATCAGGGCTCGGCGTTCTGACGTCACCGCTACTCCCTGCGCAAGAAGCAGGCGAACTTGCCCTCCGCATAGACGCGTGACCATTCCGTTTTCTGTAGCAGGCTATAGAGTAGTGTTACATCAATGCTATAGACGTGCGAAGACTTAGTTGTCCGTAACCGGCTATAGAAAAGTGCACGTATCCAATGCTATAGACGCTCGGTCATTCAGTTGTCTCTGGCCAGCAACACAAAAGTGTATGACTCCAATGCTATACACGCGCTAAAATTTAGTTTGCAACTGGCTTTGAAAAAAGTATTTCCTAAGCTATGGACGGGTGATTATTCAGTCGTCTGTACCGACTAATAATAGCGTATGTCATCAATGCTATAGGCTAGGTCGTCTATGCCGGCATGCTTTAGGGACTTTTTAACAACCCCCCAAGACATAATTACTTTGTCGTTACGGTACGCGCCACATTAGGGTCGTCATATCACCTCTTATTGCGACTTCCACAAATCAGCAAACCCGGTTGCTGATTTTTTTTCTTACTCAGTTGGGCATTTTCATCGCAATTTAATTTTGATTAAAAAAAGTTTTGGCAGCATTCTTGAAACGAAAGGCAGTGTAAACGGCAAGCTTGGTGATTTTTTTTTCCAAGTTATTGGCCATTGAAGCTGCCGATGCGAAAACCGACGTTTCTTTAGTTGGTCGGACATGTCATGCTGGACCACTCGCTTTTTTGTCACGTAACAAACGATCACGCTAGGACTCTCTGCTCATAATTTCAAAATAGTGTTTATTGTGCCTATTGAATAACAAAAATTTTATAATTTGGAATATGTTTTAAACCAATGTCGACATGTGTCTCTATTATATTTTTTGAAAACGATTGGCAATTGTTTACACGTTATGTATTAAAGATATTTTAATAAAATTTATATTGGAACTAAGCCTAAACTTAGTTAATTTAATTCACTATAAATTCAATATTTCACGTGAAAGAAAACATTTGCTACATACAATTGATAAAGCGATGATCCAAAAAATCGTGCCAATTCGGATTCGATTTTAGAAAAATTAATGTTTAATTCCGTTCATTTTTTCAGTAGTAGTAAGGTAGGACAGTGGTTTATTAGAAAATATATATATAACGTGTAGTATATTGTTTGTATGTCCCCGATAAAAGATTGAATCTTGTCAAATGTGCGTTGTGAATGCAGCTTCGCATGGGCGCTATTATGGCCAATACTGTTGCATGGCTATGACTAATGACCTAATAATAATACTTGCCATCCGATTCAATCCTATATTGGACTGGAATAATACGTATGGTATAACAGTATTTTATATTAGGTTTTTACAATACTGCATTATGTAAAAACAAAAAAGGTGATAAATAAAACGCTCTACAAATAGAAGGACATACGAAAGGGTAAAATTTAATACAACCTGACGAAAGAAGTTACAGTAAAACACAGGTAAAATAGGTAAAACAAATATTTTTTTAAGTTTCACTTTACGAATGTA